AAACAATGGCATCTCTCTTGGAGTTACTTTCCTGCATTTCACAAGGGGAAAAAAATTCTGTGTGGGGTTGAAATTGTGAATTTTCTCCCTTGTCTGTCCTCATCATGGAGATTTGATGGTGGTGACTTGTCCAGCCGAGAATTTTAAGCAATAAATTTGGTCGTGCTTTATTTAATGCATTTATTAATAGGAATTCTGTGGTGATGATTTGTCTGGCCAACATTTTTAAGCAATAATTTTGGTCATGCTTTATTTAGTGTATTTATTAATAGGAATTTTGTGCATATCAGAGAAATGACACATTAAGCTGTGAAAAATGGCTCAGCGTGGCTGAGCTCTGAACTCCTGATTCCTGCCCTGTGTCCAGGAATTTTCTTGGCTTCATCTGTAGACTTTGCACTCGTTTTTATTCCTCCTTTCCAGGAATATTTTGGATTTCCATCCCTGGCAGTGCCCAGGGCCAGGTTGGACACTGGGTTTGGAGCAGCCTGGGACAGTGGGAGGTGTCCCTGCCATGGCAGGGGTGGCACTGGGTGGGCTCTGAGGTCCCTTCCAACCAATTCCAAGGGATTTTGGGAAGAGCTGGTCCATGTTCAGCATCCCTGAGGAGCACCAGCAGAGATCCAGCTCCATGATCCCATCCAGCTGAACCAGGAATGCTGCTGTGAAAAGGAAACAATTTCCACCACCATCCGAGCAAGATTCCTTGGAGTGACTCCAAACTGTGGCAGTCTGGGCTGCCCAGCCCAAATCTCACTGATCTTCTCACATTAGAGACTTCTCATTGTGACAGCAAAACCTTCTTTTTTTAAAAAATGCTATTTTTAATTTGATCAGAGTTACATCTTGGGAAGATTTGGGAAGATTGAAGAGCTGTGGTAGGGATGTGATGCTCCAGTGAGGGATTTGGGATTTGGTGATGATGGGGAAATGGCCAGGGAAGGTGACTGTGAAAGGAATAATCCTTCCCTGAGCTGGAAGGAGTCCAGAGGACTCCAGTGCAATACATGAAGGAAAACGTGGTAGGATAACAGTTCTCCAGCAGTTCTCACAGCTTAAATTCTCCAGGAAAGTCAGTGCAAATGATTGCCTGTAATCATTTGAATGAAAACAGCTTCAGCTGTGAGCTCGGAGCTGCTGCCGTTGATTTTAAAAAAAGAAAAAAGGAAAAACAGTAGGGAGAGCTCTCCCCATCCCTGCCCTCTGGAAAAAAAATCCCTAAAAGCAGCTGATGTCACCAGAAACTCTGAAGTTTTTACTCTGTGTGGATGACACGTGAGCTGGGAGGAAGGAGGGATGAGCTGTGGTTTGTAGCTGTGAATTTGCCTGGAATAGAAACCAGATTTCACACTTGTGGTGAAACAGGAAGATCCGAGTCCCTCTGGAACGCTATTTTTGGATATGATGTCTCTGGGCTCTCCATGGGAAACTCTTGGAGCATCAACAGGCAACAAACAGGGCAGTAGAAGTGCTAAAACAACTGCACCTCTGCACTGGAGTTGCCACTGGATTATAATTTCTGGAAATCCAGAGGATCTGACAAAACTGTGAGGATAAATCAGGAGAAAGAAAAACTAAACCCAAAAAATGACTCGTGAATGTCTGACACCACCTCTCCCCTCCAAAATACCAAACCCTAGAAGTTTCAAATCCACTCAGGAAATGATTAACAAATAACAGCTCTCAGGTCTTGTCCTTAAGAATCATTTGCAGCTCAAAGCCCAGATTTATGCCTGCTCTCCACATGCTTCTTTCCAAAGAGGTGTTTGGGAGCTGAGGGAACAAGAGTGGAAGAGGAGCCAACTCCTCGTGTTTTAGGTTTGATTTATGGCCTAAAAAGTGCTTGAGTGGGGTAACCTGGTGTTAAGGAGGCTGATATTCTGAAAGTGAAGGTATTTTGATGGGCAGGGAGTGCCACAGCAGGAAAAATTTAATGTTTGACAGCCAGAAGCTCTGGTGGTGGCTGCTAAAGGAATGTCCGAGGTGCCCAAAGCACAGGAGACAAATTATGTTGAGCCTCTCATTCACACCCACATCAAAGAACTGGAGGAAATTCTATAAATTCACCACTTCAAATCTCCAAAAGGCAGGAGGGCCGGAGATGCCAGGTTTTCTGGGAATGACAGAGTGCATCCCCCCAGGGCTGTGCTCTGCTGGACAGTGAGGATCACACAGCTCCAGCTGAGGAGGTGACAAACCTGTGAGGAGGTGACAAACCTGGGCATCATCCTGCCCCAGCCTTTTACCTGGAAATGCCTTGAGGGGTGGGCTGGGCCCTGGGAATGAGGGATATTCCATTCTTCCATCAAAAACCCCAAAGATTTCACAGAATCCTGGAATTACAGAATCGCAGCACCCTGGAATGGTTTGGATTTGAAGCCACCTTGAAGATCGTCCAGTCCCACCCTCTGCCAGGGGCAGGGATCCTTCCACACTCAAAGGTGAAGCTGGGCTGTTGGGAGAATTCCAGGGCAGGGCAGCCCTTGGCAGAGGGGCTGGAGCTGTCAGTGCTCCCGTGGCTCTTGGGTTTGTATTTGAGAGAAGTGGGATGTGCTTTAGGACATCCCTGGGCTGAAAGGAGCTCTGAGTCCAGGCCTTCCCCTCCCTAAACAGCCCAGAGTGGTGCCCTGTGGCTGGAAACAGAACAGGGATTTCAGGAATTTCATCCTCCCCTGGTTTTGGAAGGCCTGAGTGGCCTCTTTAACTCCAACAGAGGAACACGAGCAACCCAGGCTTGAAACCAAAACCCTGAAGTGAACTTCAAGAACTTTTTGTGTCCCTCCTGGGTTTGGCAGCTGCTGAATTTGTTGGGGTGGCTCCCGTGGCTTTGGTGTTGTAGGGCAAAGATGCAGATCAGAACAGCTATAGACACCCACCAGGATATCTGCATTCTTGGGTGATGCTTCAAAAATCACTTTGGTGATTTATTTTAATTCTGATAAGGTGGTATTTGTTGGGAAATGATAAAGCTGAGCTTGGGGTATTTGCTGAGGGTCACATTCTCACTCAGCAATGCTTCTGGTCAGTGAAGAAGGAATTGAGAGCTCCAGGAGGTAACTGAGAGCTCACATTTTACCTCTGGAAATTCTTTCTCACCTAGAAATCTCAAGATAATCCAAGAAAAAGCCATAAAAATATATTAGTGAATGAAATAGAGGTGTAATGGGTCTGGATTAATTCTGTAGCCAATTACATTAAGATGTTACATTAGCCACGTCCCTTAAATATCATTTACCACAAATATTCCCACAGGGAATTGAGCTTTCCTTGAATATTGTTCAGGACTAAGAGCTGAAATTCCTGGGTGAAATGATTTACTGTCAATGAAAACACCACTCAGGATATACGGCTTGAAAATCCATTGTTAATTAACAGCATTCAATTCTTAATTGTCTCCGTACCAATTCAGTTGAAATCATTGACACAAAATACATTGTTAAACTGCTTAATCAATCATTGTAGAAAAATAGAGGTGTTTGATAGGGACATTCTAGTACAAAGTTTCCGTGAAGCTTCCCCGTTTGAAAGCTTTGGAGGCTTCTATATTTTTTTTTTTTAAAGCTTATGTTACAAAAATGAGATCTCATAAACTTTACAGTCCGTACTACATGGATACCAAAGACGAGAAAATACAGGGGGGGAGAGAGAGAGAGAGAGAGAGAAAGAGACAAAACACACACACACCTTAAGCTGTAAGTGCCCTATTCACAAAAATAAAGCTTACACATGCGCATGCCCCAGTGGCGGAAAGTCTCTTTTTCCGTGCTGAAGGACACAAAAATAAAATGGTTTCATCAGGGCCCTGAGCTGCAACTCAAATTTTCTCAACCTGCAGCAACGACTTCTAGAGTGGCCCAGTGAATTGTGAGAGCAAAAAGCAGGTTTGTCCTCGGAGGGAAAGCTTTGCTTTCAGCTCGTGCACCTTTGGCGGGACGGGCGCGTGTGGGCGGCCCCAGCGCTTCCAGAGGGGCTCTGGAGCCCCCAAAAACCCAAAAAACCCAAAAAACCCTCATCAGCCCTGCTGGGGAGCCATGTTGGTGGGATGGATGGGCTGGAGCACGGGGCTGATGCTGGGGCAGGAGGATGAGCTGTGGCCAAGAGCTGTCTCTCAGAAATGTCCCAACCTTCATCCGCCCAAAAATCCTCATCCTGCACCATTCCTTGCATCCTGGGAATGCCTTTTAGGGGAAAATGTCAGTGCTGAAACCATAAAAACCTCTTCCCATCCAGCCTGATCTGCCCTGGTGTGCAACCCTTCCCTTCCCTTCCCCAGGCCCTGCTGTGCCCTCCTCACCTGGAGGCCCCCCCAGATCAGCCACCCTCTCTGAAAATTAGCAAGGGGCAGTGGTACCAGCAAAAAAGAAAATTAAAAAAAAAAAAGGAAAAGAGGTGTGAATTTAATGCCAAAGCTATATCACAGTGCAAATTTTCCACCTGCCCACCAAGTTTCTCCTGAGGTTTATTTTTTTTTCTCTTTTATTTAAATGTAAAGTTTTAAATGTAAAGTTTTCTATACCAAAAAAAAAAAAACAAAAACAAAAAGCTTCAGATTCTCTTCAGTGTTTTCTTTCTTCCCGGAGTAGGCAGGCATGGAAAAAAACCCCCCAAAATTAAGGCTGCAGCTTCTCCTCCTTTGCTGGCAGAAATGCTGTTCTTGGTGGAGCTCCCCCACTCCTGTGGAAGCGATGTGAGTTCCCTCTGCCCTGGGATGGAATGCCCAGGGATTTCCAGGGATTTCCAACAACCAGGGAGTCACCTAAGGTGGAGGAACTCACTGAGGAAGGGCTCCCCTGAGCCAGGCAGGATCCACCTGTGTGTTCTCCTGGGAATCCTGGTGGAAGGACACCTCCAGGGACGCCGTGCCCCCCGCGCCTCAGCACCAGCAAATCGCAGATGTCATGGATTCCAGCTCCACACGAAATCCAGCTGTTTCTTTCCCAGATGAAGTGGCTAAAATCGCCTGGCTGAGGTGCAACATTCATTTTTCAATGGCTTGTGTGTGTGGGGTTTTTTTTGTGTGTAGCAAACTACTCCACTGAAATCCCATGGGAGCAGATTCCCTGGATATTGCACGTTAAGGATAACACCTCCACATGACACATTCTTGTTCCATGAAAAGTACACAGGAAATTCTGGTTAGCCATGAATTTGCCACAGCCTCAATTTTTCAGTTGAACTGCCCCCAAAAAAGAGTAACCAGGAAGGGTTTTGCCTTATTTGTAAACATTTTCACAGTATGTCAGGAATACAATTCTCTACCCTGCCCTCTCCCAGACTTATGGCTTTTTAGAGTGAGTGAAACAATCTGTTTGGCCAACAGTGAGGTACTCTAAATAGCTGCCAGTCTGGTACACTGAAGAAAATGTTATGCACTAGAAGAGTCATAGAAGGGAGGGGAAAGAAAAATAAATTAAAATCAATTTTACACTGCAAATATTTGAAGAGAAATGCCTACTCGACGGGTAGTTAGTTTTTGCATCCCAATATTTCTAGAGCTCTGTTTCTAAACCTACATTAATTACACAGCTGTGTACATTATTTAGAAGTTCTTTACTACAGTACTTTTGTACATGCGGCGTTTATTACTAAATGTAGAGAGAAATAGTTACATAAGGCATATGTACAGGGTCGTGGGGGATTGCAGGTCCCTCTGTTCACCTTCCTCTTAAAGCTGCAAGGCCCATTCCACTGTCACCCAGTCTGTGAAAGTGTCCTGAAATACATAAAAACTCAGCCAAGGCCCATTGCTTTGGTGGGCATTAATCAGTCTTTCCTTTAAAATCCCTTGCATCCATTTCCTTTGCGTTCAGGGATTGGATTTTGTGTTGTTGATGTGGAAAAACCTGGAGGTCTGCACTGGAGAGGGGCCACCAGTCCCTGCCAGGGGGAGATTCCACCATCCCTGATGGGTGTTGCAGCTTTAACCCACGCCTTGGCTTAGTCTGGGGTTGAAGTTGGGACTTCTCATCTAAAATGTTTATTTTCCGTGAGTTACCAATAACAGGAAGAGAAAAAAAATTAAAGGCGTGTCGCAGAAAGAAACAGGGAGCAGAGAGGGAGGAGATAAAGGAGGTGGCCTTTATTTCTCCCCTGGTCCTACACTTTGGACTCATTCTCCAAGTTGGCCACGTCTCCGTTTCTTTCATTTTGGTCTTCTTGGTTCTTCTCCTCCTCCTCCGTTTCCAGCTCGGCGTGTTGGTCCAGCTTGCTGGAAACAGACCAGGTCAGGGGCAGTTCTGCTCGGCTGGCCATCTCTGCCAGCTCTTTGGCACTGTAAACGGGGGTGTTGGTCTCATAGGTTTCGTGAAAACTGTTGTAGTCAACCTCGTAAAATCCATCCTCCAGCGTGAGCACGGGCGTGAAGCGATAGCCCCAGAGGATCTCACTGGTGATGTAGGAGCTGCGAGCCTGGCAGGTCATCCCTGCAACAACAGAGAAGGAATAAGTGCTGTAATCAGGACCCATGGCTTCCCCAAGTCCCTTGATTTATAGTTTTTTCTGTCTGTAAGAAGGACAGAAGGAGGTTTGACATCACACGAGGTGGAGCTCACACGGCGGGTTTAGGGAGCGCAAACTGACGCCCTTTGCTCCTGCGTATGTGCTGAATAAGAAAGGCTCAGTCCGCCAGTGAAGATTTTAATATTAATTTCTTTATCAAAAATTTCTCTTCTGCCTGTGCTTCACCAACTCACCTGCTGTGGGTCTCAGGTGGGTGGGGCACTGTGCCATCCTCTGTCTCCTGGCTGTCACAAACCCACTGCCACATGCCCATGGTAACAGGAACTGTCACCAAAGCTTCCCCCTGCTGGAGCCCACCCTGATCCCCTGATCCAAGGGTTCCCTTCATGCCTCAGGTTTCAGCTTTTCTATTTTTCAGATGCTGTGCTGCTTTAGTGTGTGGGTCTGAGCTTCATATTATGGGATGGTGAGCTCTGGGCACAGAGCAGGGAGACAAAACAATTCCTGCTCCAGCTGGGGACTGTGGTATTTTCTGGGTACCCCGTCACTGGGAGGAATGCTGAATCTGACTCCATGTTTTTAGAAGGCTAATTTATTATTTTATGATACTATATTATATTAAAGAATGCTATACTAAACTATACTAAAGAATACAGAAAGGATACAGACAGAAGGCTAAAAGGTAATAATGAAAACTCCTGACTCTCTCCAGAATCTGGCACAGCTTGGCCCCAACTGCCAATAAGTCAAAAGAATTCACCTGTTGGATACACAATCTCCAAGCACATTCCAAGGCAGCAAAACACAGGAGAAGCAATTGAGATAAGAATTGTTTTCCTTTTTCTCTGAGGCTTCTCAGCTTCCCGGGAGAGAACTCCTGGGCAAAGAGATTTTTCAGAAAATATGACAGTGACAGGGGACCAAGGACAAATGATCCAAATCTCAGGCCTGAGAGCACAAACACCGTGGGCTGGAGAGAGAAAAACAGCAGGGTGGGACTGCATGGGCTAAAACTGGAATTGGAAAAATTGTTCTGCCTGCTGGGAAATAGGAGGGACAATTTTCTGCAGAAATCAAGAAGATTAATTGGACTATGTAAAACTTACAGCTCATTAAAAACAAACCCTCCTCTGAAATGTTGATCTCCATTTTTAATTGAGGCTCCCATTCAGCAATGATTTAATTCCCATTCCTTTTCCACAGCTGGATTAAACATTTTCAGTGCTAGAATAGAAGTTAGGATTTTTCAAGTCAGTGAAACTAAATTATGGGGATTGGGTAAAGGAGACTTTTAATTTTAGGCAGCCAAGCTACCTTGGCTTTTTGTTGTTTTATTGTTATTTATTATTATTAAAAATTTTTATTGGTTTGCTTTTAAATGGGATTAAAAAAGGTCTTTGTTTCTACAAGAAATTGAAGATTTCATGGTAGCTTAGACAATAAAATGTTGTGTCAGACACTCGTATCATGCAGTGTTTGCCTTTGGGATGAGAGCCATCAAAAATAAAATGCTCTAAAACAATCAGGGGGAAAGGTTGTTTCAGAACCAAGGTATCAAACCCATGTTTGGGCTGAAATACAGTGATTTTCCAGCCCTGCCATTTCCACACAGTGAAAACCGCATTCAGCTTTTGTTTTAGTCAAGACAGGCCTTTTTTACAGCAGCACCTTTTCTTTTCAAATTCCATTTCTGGGATAAAAAAAGGGAGATGAAATGAGGAGCCAAGAATTATGGCCCACAACTGGCAGCACCTCTCTGACAGTCACAGAGGTTTCGAGGTTCAGCAATTTGCTGCTGGCACTTGGCAGGACCAGGCAGAATTCCTGCTGCAGTAAATTATCTGGGATATCCCACAAGAGTAGCTGTTTTCAATCATTTTGTGGGAATTCTGCTCCACAGTTCAGCCTGCAGTAAGACTCAACAGCAGATTGTGCATGGAGCACAGGGGTGTCCCCATTTTTGGGCTCAGTGGGGTTTCACTCATGTGCAGGAGAACAAAATTTGGTCTGGGGTCTCCATTTGGGAGCTGAGGCTTCCTGTGATGCTCCTGTTGAATTCCTTTTAGTCTGCATCCACAGCAGCCTTTGCTGAGGTACCCCTGCAGAGGTTTTGATCTATTTTGTCAAAAGGTTCATTTGGATCATGAGAACGTGTCTCAGGATGAAAAGTGTGCCCGGGGCTGTGTGTTCTGTTCCCATCTGTCAGAGCTGGGGCAGTTCTCTGCTGTCCATGGGGCAGTTTTTTCTTTCTCTCTCCCACAGCCAATCCTCCCTGCAGGAGATCTCTGCTGTCCATGGCCACTGAGTGTCCCTGCAGGGCTGATCCAATCCCAGCATCCCATGGGGAGATGCTGCATTGCCCAGGGCAGGAGCCAAGCATTCCTACCTGGATCCAATCTGAGGTGCTGGGACAGCCCAGCAGCCTTTGCCCAGTGCATTGCCAGAGGAGCAGCTTCTGCTGCCCTGCATGGCCAGAGGGAGCCCAGGCCCATCTGCAGCAGCCCTGGAGCTGCAGAGGAAAACTCCCCCCTTGTGCAGGATCCCTGCTCCAGCAGAGCCACAGCTGGCACTGCAGGAGGGCTGAGCCCCCATGGGATGGGGCTGTGCCACCCCCTGACACACAGGGGGACAGGGACTGCTCTGACTCTGGCAGTGTTGGTTTGTGTTACTGAATTTTGATTTTATTTTTATTTTCTTTCCTATTAAAGAACTGTTATTCCTATTCCCATATTTTTGCCTGTGAGCTTTTTAATTTCAAAATTATCACAATTTGGAGAGAGGGGTTTACATTTGCCATTTCAAGGGAGGCTCCTGCCTTCCTTAGCAGACACCTGGCTTTTCAAACCAAGTCAGAACCTTTTGAAACCAAAACTAAACGTGGAGGAAGTTCTCAACCCCTTGAGGTAAATTCCTGCAGCCTCCTGATGGAGCTGTGGCACTCAGGAAGCAGCAGAATCCTTGTCTGGGGCAGGAGGGAGAAGATGGGAGAATTCTGCTTCATCACCGTGACCAAAGAATCCCAGATTGGTCTGGGCTGGAAGGGACATCAAAGATCTTCCAGTTCCAGCCCCTGCCATGGGTGGGGGTCTTCTCTTAGGTCAGGCTGCTCCAAACCCTGTTCAGCCTGGCCTTGGACACTGCAGGGATCCAGGGGCAGCCACAGCCCCTCTGGGAAATCTATTCCAGGTCCTCCCCATCCTCACAGGAAACAATTCCTAATTCCCAACGTCCTATCTGATCAGGGCTTTGGTGTTGAGGTGACTCTGAGGTGTTAGAAAGTTTCTTTTTCTCAGCTATGAGACTGAGGGAGAAGATGGGATTATTTGGCTCTCGTTCCCAAGGTTGTTTATTTGCTCTTATTTAATTCATTGTCTTTCTGACTCACTGAGGTCTCTTTGACTCACTGAGGTCTCTTTAGTAGGGTGGGTTGAGGTACTCTGACCACCCTCAGGGCAGTGTTATTTTTTAATACTAAAAACTACGTGTACTTTATTTACAGTAATTCTTCAATACTTATCACTTATGTTAGACAGTTTGTCTCTACTCCAAACTAATTCAAAAGTGTCACTATCACAGCTGAAGATGGAGGACAAGAAGAAGAAGGAGAAAGATTTGACACGCCCAGATTCCTCCATCTTGCCTCCTGAACCCCCATTCTAAAAACTTCAAAATTCTACTTTTCTACTTTGTGACAAATTCACCATCATTCTACTCAAACTCTTGTGGCTTGTAACTCCTCACACACAGTTGGGAATTGTTTCCATGGGCTAAAATCCAAGGCACAGGTGTTTGTGACTCCGTGCCAAGGTCTCTGAGCCCCCTGCCAGGGGCTGGAGTCCTCCAGGGCAGCCAGGGGAATGTCCTGGGTCCTGACACCCATCCCTCCCTCCCTCTGGCAGTGGGAGCCATTCCCTGTGTCCTGTCCCTCTGCAGAGAAATCCCTCTCCAATGACCCCAATACTGAGGGAATTGGATGAACCTGCACCTTTCCTGTAGCTCCAGGAAACCCAGGTGGATTTCCAGGCTCCCACCCGGGACCCACCAGCTTTGCTCTGTGCCCTGCTGACCTTTTGCGCTCCAATCTGTTTGCTGAAGGATTTGTCACTTTTTTGGGGCTATTTTTGGGTGCTCAGGAGAAGAAGAAAGCAGCGTGGGCTATTAAAAACAAGGCAGAGGCTCGGAGCCAGGACCCCCTGCTTGATCCCCCTCTTCTCCTGCAGACCCTGTGTGGGCTTTGGCAAATTCCCCAGCTTTGCTTCGCTGGCTCTGTTTCTCTGCTGTGCCACCAGGAACACGCTGAGATGGAAAAGCAGGAGATGTGCTGGCACTGGATTCTCTGCCTCCTCCCTCCTCTAGAATTTTTTTTTTTTTTTTGCTGTCAAATTTGTACTAAACAGCTCTCCCTGGTGTGAAAATGATTGCCTCAAGGAAAAGGAAAAAAAAAAGACAGAAATTTGGAATAAAATTTCCAGAGTGCCACTAAGTCAGTGTCAGAAACATTCCATGGGAGTTCATTGGTCCTCTTTAATCAAGCTAAAAAGAAGGAAGCAAAATGTTGTGTTGGACCCTGAATTCACTGCAGTATTTTAAAGCTGGAAGCATAAAATCATAGAATTTAGGTACAGCTGACAATAGAGATATGGTAGTTCAGTTTATTTGAGTAAAGACCCCACAAATAGATATAATTTTATATAATATATATTTTATATATATTAACATATATTTATATATTATAATAAATAATAATATAAAATATATATTAATATAGTATAATATGATATGATATAATAAAATATAATACAATACAATATAATATAATATATAGTATAGTATAATATAACATATATTATATTATATTATATTATATTATATTATATTATATTATATTATATTAATATATAAAATATATAAACATATATATAATGTATAAAAAGATATAAATATATAAAAATATATTATATAA